ATATACTTGAAACCTGCAATACTTTCTCTTCGAGGCATCTCCGGTACAAAGCACAGAAGTTCTTTTTCAAAACTTTTAATTTCGCAGTACCACTACGGCACACAACTGCGGTACACAACTACTCGCAGCTACAACTAACGAGACGAGATGAACAGATCCCCAACCCCCCAACCTCCCCGGTAGCTTGCGAAACCCCTCCCGGGGTCCCCGGACATCGCTATGGGGGAAACAACCTAGAGGGGGGGAGGAGGAGGGGGAAGGGGGAGGAGGGAGGAGGAGGGGGGGGGAAATGCAACCCTGAGCGAATAAACCTCATCCAGCCGTTGGCCCATCAGCCGCGCACTGAGGCCCCCAAACCACTCACCGTGTTCCGTGCCGGTGGAAGTTGGGTTGGAGGCATCCACGGGGATGATGAGGTTGAGGATGAGCGCCGTCACGGCCCCAAAGGTGAACGAGGTGGACAGCACCAGGATGATGGCGTCGCGGATACCGCGCACTCCGCTCGACATGTCCTACGTGGGTGTGTGGTGCCGCAGCAGGACCGCAAAGAAGAAGGGGGCTTAGGCGACGGAGGCAGCGGGAAGCACGTGATTGGGAGGGTGGGGGGTTCATGGGGGGTAAGGCGAACCAGTGATGATCGAAGCGGATACCCCGGAGAGGTAGTGGGATACTCCGCAGGTTTAGACTAGACCCAGATAACTGCATCAGGATCAACGGTAAGTCACTCATGTCATGGGGGGTCGAATGGATTACGGGTAGACCATCTCAGCGAGTGGGGCCTTATGGCACTCGGGTTGCTGTGAAAGCGTGGCGCCTGCTTTTAGCACGTCAACTACTTCCCGTAGCCCGGTAAGGCGCTGCGCCCGCCCCTTCAAATTTGTTGTACCCACAGATCTCTCTCCCCCCGATCCCCCTGATATCGTTTTTCACAGACACACTCCCCTTCCCAGCTCTCCCCCCAATACACACAGGCACATACACACACACACACAGACACACACACAGACACACACACGCCGCGGCCCCAGGTCCCCGTCCGCGGCCCCACCTACCGGCGTAACGGGCCACAGCTGACTCTGAGCCCACTGGGGTACCAGCTCCACGCCGAAGGCCAGAGCCAGGGAGCAGGCCAGGATGAAGCGGGAGCGGCGGGTGAGCGGGTCGCCGTTGACGATGATCTTGATGCCCGAGGCAATCACTGGATGTGGATGTGGATGTGGATGTGGATGTGGATGTGGGGCCACCGCAGTTCAGTTCAGGGCAGTTCAGTTCAGGGGGCCCCGGCAACGCACGAGGGTGCATGGAGGGGCAGCCAAGGGAAGGTCCGCACCGCGCTTGTCAAGATGCTGTCAGTATACGTGGTGCAGGCGGACTTACACACATACGCATACACGTACACATACACATAGACACACACTAAACAAGGGCAATGCAGCTCTTTCCGGGCATCCTTGCTCTTTCCGGGTGCATATTACATCATTATTGTCAATCAATAAAGCAGTTGTTTTGTGGTTTCTTTCTTCAGCTCCTGAACAGCTCATTGAAACCTCCCACAACAACCACCAGCCGTGTGCCCCTGCTGGCGCAGGACGAAAGGGCACTTCCCCTTCAAATCCTCCTCCTCCTCCTTGTCCGCACGTCAACATCCTGCCTCATACCCTCTCCCACACCTTTTCCCTCATCTCCCCCGTTCGTTCATGTCTCTCACCGTTCGCAAATAGGAACGTGGTCATGCCACCCAGCACAGCCTCGGGAATAGTCGTGATCCAGGCGCCAACCTTGCCTGCGTGCGCGACATACATACATACATACATACATACATACATACATACATACATACATACATACATACATACATACATACATACATACATACATACATACATACATACATACATACATACATACATACATACATACATACATACATACATACATACATACATACATACATACATACATACATACATCGAGAGGACCACACATTTAAGCGAGGTAGGACGAACGAGACCGGACCGAAGGCAGCCATGCGGGTGGCGTTCAGGAGAAGAGTACGCCCTCAGACTGGCCAGCTGAACGGAGCGCAGTACGAAGGGGGATACACTCACCAAGGATACCCAGGAGGAACAGCCAGGCGGCCTGGGGGGATTGGGGTCCCGGCCGGTTGGG